AACCATCATCGAGACTTTACTGGAATGCAACTCTAGGTCAACCACAAGTATTTGAATCTATGACCTGCAATAGATGGGAAATTATAAAGAAACACCTTCATTTTAGTGATAATAGTAACTCCGTTCCCGTTGGTAATCCAGGCCATGATAAATTGTTCAAAATTCGACCTCTATTAGACAAGATTAAACAACGGCTTTTACTGGTTCCCAAGGAAGAACATCTAGCTGTTGACGAACAAATTATCCCTACGAAATGCCGCCACCACCTCAAACAATATAATCCGGCAAAACCTCACGTGGGGATACAAAAATCAAGTACTTAGTGGTGTATCAGGCTTTAGTTATGACTTTGACATTTTTGCTGGTGAACAAAGCAATACTTTTCCAAATAGAGCGCCTGATTTAGGAGTCAGTGGAAATGTTGTCACTAGACTGGCAGAGACAGTGCCGAAGAACGTTAATCATAAAATATTTTTCGATAACTGGTTTAATAGACCAAAATTACAGATTTATCTTACAAAAAATGGATTGTTACCTTTAGGTACGGTTCGATTAAACCGTGTTTCAAATTCAGGAATCCCAACCGAGAAAGAACTAAAGAAAAAAAAACGTGGTTTCATTGTAGAAAAAGTTGCCCTTGTTGAAGACGTAAACATAAGTTTAATAACTTGGTTCGATAATAAGCCAGTAAATATGTTATCAACTTACGTTGGTAGTGAACCTAGAACCACAAAACGTAGGTACTTCAGAAAAGAAAAAACGTACAAAGAGATTCCATGCCCTCAAGCTGTTGAAGTTTATAATCAGCTGATGGGAGGAGTGGACTTATTAGACTCGATGCTGGGGCTTTACAGAATCCATCTAAGATCAAGAAAATGGTATAAACGAATTTTTTTCATATGTTGGATCTATGTGTTGTAAACGCATGGATACTCTGGCATAGAAAAAATGAACAAAATTGCTATATGCCATTATTTGACTTTAAACAAGCCGTTTCTGAACATTTATGTAAATTTGCGAAGTCACTACCAAGAAAGAGAGGTCGTCCAGTAAGACAAAATGGGAATCCAACATCTGGTCATCAAGGAACTCCAACGTCTAGTCGTCAAGGAACTCCACCTGTCTTAACCAATGGAACAAACCCAACACCAACAAAAAGAACAAGAAAAATCTCCTGCAAGACATCAAGAGATACCGTTAAATTCTGTGCGTACGGACAACATTGGACATAAGCCAGAATGGCAAAAATATCGCCAACAGTGTGAAATATGTACAAAAAAAACTTACACCAAATGTATAAAGTGTAAAGTATTTTTATGTTATAATGAAAAAAGGAATTGTCTATCACAATTTCATAACTAACGTATTTTTGTATGTTAACTTTTTATTAAAATATGTTCTTATGATGCATGTGAAAAATGATTAACAAAATATTCAATTATGTTTATAAAGATGGTACTACTCTTTATATCAAAATTGTCTTTTGTCCTTCTATTTTAATATATTTTCATCTATTTTAGCGTAGTCGGTATAAGAATTTAAAAAATTAAAAGAAGAAGTAAAAGACAAACAAATGAAAATGGAGGAAAATATAAAAATAAGTGTGTAGTCCATACACACTTTGTTTAAGATGGGCGCAACAATATTATTTAAAAAGACGCTAAAATTATACATTAAAATTAGGGACGGCAATAAACAAATACTTACCATAAGGCAAGTACGCCTCTGGTATAGATTTAACAGCTCTAATTAGAGAAGTGGATGTATAATGACGAATATTAGAAAAGTTTTCGTGTGAAAGACAACTCTTCGATAAGCATTTCAAGTAAAACAAAACTTGAGCACGAGGCACATCAAGAACAAGCTTTTCGACAATGGAAGATGTTAAGCTAAATAAACGGTTTTTGATTATGCTTCAAATCCAACAGCCGTCAAAGTTTCGGAACATTTAAGTTTTCTTTGAGAACTGCAGCTATTTTGCTTAATTAAAGTTTTAGGATGTTCTAAATCGGTATGCCGATAAACATGAATAGGGTGGGATGTTGCCTGCCGTGTTTCGTCTAAACGATAATTTAGGCCAGAAAGCTTTGGTTTTAGTTAGCAAAGTGGTTAAAGTATAAAGTCGAAAATATAGAAGTCGAAAGAATCAACTCCCATATTCTCGTAATATCAAAGTTTCCAGTTTTGTTTTTTTTTTTATAAAAAGAGATTATTAGTATCAAACTGATGTTAAATTTGCATCATAACAAGAGAAATAGAAACTCCAGATGCAAGTCGGTTTGCCTTGCAAACTGGTGTTCAGGTGTTTTGAATGATACAACGGTGAACTTTAAGGGTATATTTTGTAGCATTTGCAAATTCGTTGATTTTTTGGTGTATATTGAAATCCCCTCTTATATGTAATATATTGAAATCCCCTCATATATGTTTGAAAAATCGAAGAGTATTTTTAGTATATTTCAGTTTACTATCGTACAAGTTAAAATACGCAAAAAGTATTTTCAATTCCTCTTAGCGTCACCAAGTAATATAAACTATCTTAGAATTGTTTATTTATTTCGCAGCTGTGTATTTTTCCTCGATATTTCTTTGTTCAAACCGCCCGATATTGCGTTTTCAAATTAATAATTTACGTCTTAATTTCCGTTGTGTTTTGTTTATACCCAGCGTCTTGTTTATTCCAACTCATGCAAATTAATTTTAAAGATAATTTCATCACTCTCGTTGGAGCCGCGATCAAGAGCGGTGGTCTTCAGCGTTATGTCCAAGTTCACGTTGAATTTGTAAAGTTTTCTGTTTTTGCCCCTTTTCATAGAAAATGTGTAGCAGTGTGAAGTTGGTGGTTACAGTTTGCAGTTTTAAGTGAGGATTGAAAGAATCGTCGTTTCCATCCTCGTTTTGTTTCTCCCTGGTTATCATCCAAGGCTTTTTGGTAGTATGGAGATAAATTTGTTCGTGTGTTCGTTATACAGAGAGTGAAGCCCAGTTATATTTCCAGTTGTAGTTCCATTAACAGTTACAGAAAATGTGTTTTATTGAAAAATCCAGGTAACTTTTTGTTTCAAATTTTAAAGTAAAGACAATTTTTTTTAAATAATAATTGCATTCGTTAAAATTTAAGAATTTTTCATAATTAATATTGTAAATTTTAAGGTTTGACTTTAGCTGTCATTTTAATTTTTCTGTTTTAAATTTAATGTTAATTTATGACTTTTTAAAAAAAGGTAAACCTTTATGCGGTAACATTTGTAAGTTTATGTAGTATCTCCAACTCCTAGAGTTTGTAAACGGATGACATGTAAGATTTTTTGTATTTTTGTATTTTGCGACTATTGATGTAATATTTTTGCATTGTCCTACTTTTGTAACTGTTTGTGGTGACACAACAATAAATGTTAAATTTTTTTTCTTTAGATTTTGTTTATTTTTTTACTAACCTTTTTTGAGTTTTATTTGAAAAACATATGTTTTGCATTTTTAATAATTATTTCGATAGTTACAACTAGCTGTTGTAATGGTTATAATTAGGCAGCTCGAAGTGGCATCCTTTTTTAATTACTACAGGTGTTTCCTGTTTCTTTTTGTTTTATCTTCTTTGCACGGCCGCTTCACCTGGTTTAGATGGTTTAACACCAAAACTGTTAAAAAGGTGCGCATACACGCTTGCAATACCCCTAACGTTAATTATGCAAACTTTTTTCATCCAGAACTCCTTACCCCCTAGTTGGAAATTAGCTTCCGTTACCCCTATTTTTAAAGGTAACAAACTCGACCCCAACCATTATCGTCCGATTAGCTTGCTGCCAGTAGTTGCTCAAGTTATGGAAGCCATTATTTCCGAGGAGATAACCAAATTCCTTTTTCCAGGAACATGTTATTCCAACACAACCACATGGATTTGTCTCTGGTCGCTCTACTCTAACCAATCTCCTACATTGTGTTAACGACTGGACGTCATCCCTTAACAGTTCGCAGCCGGTCGACGTTATTTATCTAGATTTTTCTAAAGCCTTTGACCGGGTGCCTAAGCGCAGACTTCTACATAAGGTAGAACATTTCAGAGTTCGCGGTACTTTACTTCGTTGGATAGATGATTTTCTGACAGATCGATATTACAAAGTTAGAGTTGGCAAATTTTTCTCACGGGACAGGTTAGTGGAAAGTGGAGTGCCTCAGGGTTCTGTCTTTGGCCCTCTGCTTTTTACGGTTTACTCCAGCGATATTCCTTATTATGTCTTAAGCAAAATATCGTTCCACGCTGACGACACAAAAATATATGCCAATCCAAACACAAACCAGCTAACCCTCCAAATGGACTTGGACTTTATTTAACTTGGTATTCCCAGTGGTTACTGCCCTTAAACGCGGAAAAATGTGTAGTGTTTCGAATTGGCAAAAATAACCCACTTGTGCCGTACTTTGTTAACTGGCAACCATTAGAATCTGTATTTTCGTATAACGATCTTGGTGTTATCGTGAACAGCAGCCTAGCTTGGTCCGACCATATTACCTCTATTTGTAAACGTACAAACTCCAGACTGTATCTTATTCGGATGGTTTCAATGCAATCATTTTGTAAACTTTACATTCTGTAAGTAAGACCCATACTTGAATACGCTGGACCAACATGGTATCCTGATCTTGTTCGAGTCAAGACATTGTTGGAAAACGTTCAAAGAAAAGCCACTCGAACTTCTTTGGGACCGAGAAGACCATCTTATGCAGAAAGACTTAGTATGGCTAACCTAACTACTTTTGAACTTCGCCGACAACGTGGAGACTTAATTACAACATTTAAAATACTGAAATTCAATTTTGGAAACCTCGATGAAATATTTATCATAAATCAAGATAAACGCCTCAGAGGTCATCAGTATAAACTAAAGAAAGAAAATTTTTCTACAAGACCAAGACAGAAGTTTCTTCCTGCATCACTGCATCAGACAGATCACTGCATCGTGTATACCTATCAATTCTTTTGTAGAAATAAAACACGCTTTTTACATTCTAAACATTTACTTACAAACAACATTATAAATACTACAACAAACCATTTAAACTATATTTTAAATCGTGTGTTTTGCTCTATCATTTCCTGAATATTTATGGCTCTTGGCGTCGACGAAATAGCTGATGAGATCAATCGGTAGGGGAAATACTATTGTCGAATTCTTCTCCGCTGATATATTGTTGAGGGTCTGCAGGTACCGCAACTGAAAAACAAAAATCATTCATTAGTTTACTCAATACAAGATATTGCTTTCTGATAACATCTTTAGCCATTCCTATTCAATTCCTATACTCACCTACAAGAAGTATGGCTTAATCACAAGTGTGAATTCTGGCCAACATGTGCAACCTTACCAAAGATTTGGTAACAAACCCCAAGTGGAAGGTAGGGTCAGGACCGACGAGGAATGACAAAATAGTCATTCAAAAAGGAGTTAAGCGATAGGTCAACTATTTATTACTGGAAAAATACGGTAGTTAACGAATCAACAGATGAGACTCGAAGTACAGGAGGAATTGATCGGAGGAGACTTAGGCAATGAAATATGGAATAACAGATAGGATTATGGAATGCCAGAACCTTAAATAAACGTGTTGCAGGTCAGGTGCACATAAACCAGGTCATGACAGAAAAAAACAATAAACCTTATTAATATTTCGACAATGGTATATGGAAAATAAGATTCAACCACGACTTCATCAATACTATACGACTATATCAATATTACAAAGAAACGTCTACAGCCATTTACACAAAAATACAAACAAAAATTGCCCTTGTCAGGCCACTTATAAGAATGGATAAGGAAAGAACACCTAGTATATTTAGTGGAACTATGGCGGGACGCCGGCCACTAGAAAAACTAAGGCAGAGCTGAATAGACGAGATCCGATGCTAAATAGATATTGAGAAAACAGATACTGGGAGAGGTCGATCAATATATATATATATATATATATATATATATATATATAGGCCTCCTGTAAATGATTCCAATGCATTCCATCTTAAGCATCTTGAATCTAGTTGTGCTGAATGCGCTTAATGTCATCTGACCACCTTGTTGGAAGACGTCCTCGATTACAATTAGCATCGTGTCTAGGTCTCCATTTCAGAATTTTTTTCGTCCACCTTTCATCTTTTAATCTGGCAACATGTTCCGCCCAGTTCCATTTCAATGTTGTAATCCTTTGAACTGCGTCAGTAACACCAGTTTTCCTCTAAACTATTGTATTTGATACTCTGTATCTGAGGGATATATTCAGCATTGACTCTCCATCGCTCTCTGTGCTACTTGTATTTTATTGATTACTTTTCTGATAAGGGTTAATGTTTCTGCTCCATACGTTAGAACTGGGAGTACACATTGATCAAAGACCTTCCTTTTTAAGCACATGGGAATATCTAATCTGATCTGACTGATCTGACTTCTCACAGCTTTCCTTGAGCCGCCCATGCCAGTCCTATTCTCCTGTTTAGCTCCGTTATTTGATTATCTCTTCCTAATTTAATCTCGTGGCCCAAATATTTATAGCTATACACCTGTTCAATTAAACGTCCCGTTAGTTGAGATTTTTTTCACCAGTACAAGGTTTGCCATATATTGTGTTTTGGAAAAATTAATTTTAAGTTCAAATCGTGTACACGAGCCCTAAAGATGTTAAAGCTGGCAGGCATGATCTACCCGATCTGCACCTATGATCAATACTTCACTCTTTAAGAGTTTTTAACATAGAGCTATGCTGCACTGAGTGAAACGCTTTCTTAAAGTCTACAAATATTATTATCAATGGCTTGTTGTATTCTGTAACTTTCTCTATTAAAGATTTTATTACTACTTATAGGTGGTCATTCATTCCAAAGCCACTCCTAAATCTGGCCTCCCCTGATGGTTGGTGAAAATCCAGCTTAGGTTTCAGTCTGTTAGTAATTATTCTCATAAAGAGCTTATATAAATGAGATATCAAGCTGATAGGTCTGTAGTTTCCAATTTCTGTTACTTCCCTTTTTTGTGCAATATTATCATAATGGCACTATTCCATTTTTTTGGTGTAATTCCTTCAAAGAGGCAGGCATTATAAAGGGTTTTTAAAGCTGTTATAACACATTCACATCCTAATTTCAGCATTTCACTTACAATGCCATACTTTCCAGGTGATTTGCTGCCCTTTGTACCTTTCAACGCTGATTCAATTTCATCTTCGGTTATATCTGGAAGTTTCTCTGATCCTTGATTTTGTATTGCTGGGATTTCCACCTCTGAAATGTGAGCATCTCGACGATATAATGTTCTATAGTACTCTTCAATTATTTTCATAATATTTTGTTTTTTATATACAGCATGTTCTTGTCTATTTTTTAGCTTATAAATGTTCCTAGTTCTGTCTTCAACTTTCGTTTTAGAACTTTAAGGCTTTTATTTTGTTCTATGGTATTCGTTGTTTCTTTAGTGTTAAAATCCCTTATGTCTTTCCTTACAGCTTTTGAACTGGTTTTATTTAAATTCCTTAGCTCTGCGATGTTCACTGTGTGGTTATCTTTCATTTCCCTTCTATTTTGCATTAGGTTCCTTGTACCTTGTGTAAGTTTTTCATTTTTCCTTGTTTGCTTAACTTGACAGTTCTTATGTGCTTTACTTAGAGCGTCCATCAACCTTTCGTTAAGTTGTTCAATATCGGTTTCATCTTGCACGTCATTCTGAAGGTTTCTATTTATTTCTTCCTGGTATGCCCTTAAGTTAGTAATTACAGGGAACGTAACATGTTTAGTTCTTGTTACCATATTTCTTCGTTCCTTCTTTACGTTCAAGACTACCTTCGCTCTAACCATTCTATGATCACTTCCGATTGAAAATTGATTTAATACAGTTACGTCTTGAACAGCATCTTTTTTGTTAGTAACGATAAAGTAAATTTCGTTCTTGTTCAAGCCATTTGATGATTGTCAAGTCCACTTTCTTCGGGGGCTTTTTTTAAAATGGGTGTTTATGACATATAGTCTGTGATGCAGAAGAAATTCTATAAGAGTTTGACCCCTTCTGTTTCTCTCGCCATATCCGTGAGGTCCAAGTACAAACTCCGAATCATCCTGCTTGTGGCCTATTTTTGCGTTTAGGTCTCCCATCAGTATGGTATAGTTGGTGGTTACCTCTATCGCAGTGTTAACGTCATCGTAGAACCATTCAGCTTCTTTGTCTGTGTGGGCACTGGTAGGTGCGTATACTTACCATAAGATGATCTTTAATCAAATTTTTTCGTTTACTTTGTAGATAAGATAAATATCCGGCGCCACCATTAGAATTAGAAGATTCTTCTCTTTAGTGAAATAGATTTCCCGACGAAAGTACCATTTGTTCTTCACCTTTTCGCCGTACTTCAGATAATCCAAGTATATCCCATTTTATATGTTTCAGTTCGTTTTGAAGTTCCTTAAGTTTTTTGTCCTCCATCAATGTTCTGGTGTTATATGTTGCCATTAACCATATTTTTTGGCGTTTTGTATCGTTTTATATCGGTATACCGTCGTTTGTATAGGTAGCCTGGTCCACTCCGGAGATTATTAGCACCCTCTGTCCCTCTACCTCCGTGACTGCTACCATAGCCTAGTTTCAAGGGACTGCCGGAGACTAAGGGCCTTGCGTCTTCATCGTTTCTCATTTTACGGGGATTCGTGGCCGTTTACCTACCACGCTGGCCTGTGCGGGTTGATAGACGGATGTTAGGATGGGTTAGGAAATTTTGAGGTCTTTGACAAGGATGATAGGTTTCGACGTGATACCCTAAGCCTTTCCGTCATATTTTGTATAATGTAAAATATTATTGTCTACAAGTATGATTGATGAAATAATAGAAATCAAAAAATAAGTGGGAAGTCAAAAAAAACTCTAACTTTGAGACAAGCTACAGCTAACCAATAAAACATCGATAAAGTTGTGTAGAGAATCGGTAGATAAATTAAATGAGTTAATATAGTTGTCAATGTAATGACTAATACATTCTAAAAGAAATAATAAAAAGAAAATTATCAGAACAAAACTGTTGAGCAATATGAAATCACTTAAATATTATATTAATAATTTTCAGATATTTCTATATACATCTCTTTAGAAGTTTATAGTTGAAATTGTTCAGTCGTGTATACAGTATTAAGTTGCATATATTTATATATGTATCTCAATATTTCAATAACACCAATACTGATCAAAATGGCCTATGGCTTTGCTTACGGCCATTTATAAATTAATTACAATAGTTTAACGCCCTCATAAATAGTTATTGATAAAGTTTGCCACGTGTTCTTTATAGTTATTAGTCCATGTAACTATGGAATGTATTCTCTCAAGTTCTACGGAGAAGCACTAAAGACAAAGTTTTACCATAACTCGGTCTTGAAGCAAAGATGGATGTATAACTAAAACATAAAATTTGCATTTTAAAATACATACTTTACATAAATTTAGGGCTAAGTTAAAATAAAGGTGGTAGTTTGTGTTCTAGAAGTAAAATGGATACTAAAATGACATTTTTAAAGTCGTTATCAAAAAGGAAGCGACACTATTTTCGGGCTAACTAATGTAATCAAGTAAGGCCTTAGAGTTAAATTAAAACTATCAAGATTTATAAAGGTAATTCCGACATAAAATAGTACAAAATAAATGAAATGGGAACGGGGTGTCAAGATAAACTGACATTTTTATTAAAAAGAGGTCATATAGGAGCACAAATAAAAATTCATATAATAAAGTATAAAAAAGTACATTATAAATTCAATGAATATATCGCAGAAAATAAATCTCCATCAACTAAATGCAACTCTAAATCCGGTTAACTAAATATCCATTGAATGCGTTTTAAATACAAAAAAAACTGAGTAGTTTTTAATACATTAAGATTAAAAGGAAGAAATAAATAATATCACCATATATAATTCTTGAAGACTGGGTAGACTTAAAACATCATAAGCCGATCTTAGTGAGACTATAATGCCTCCGGACCTTAGGATATCTCTAATGGAATACAAATGGACTCTTACAACACCAGCCAGAGTTATTAGTGTTATGAAGATAGCTTTAGTTGAATCTGGCTGAACTGTAACTATTGTAAAAACCTCTTAGATTATATGTATACTTATAATATGTCAGTCGGCAGTCTGTTTGTATCCTATTATATTACAATTAGTAACCCTTTAAATACAGAAAATAGATCTATGCCGAATTGCCGAAACACATCTAAGTAGACAATCATTTATTAGGCTTATAAGGTACTACATATTAGGTACGTGTTAGGTACTACATATAAGATATACATAGCTTCAGTTATACTAAAACGATTACTGCCATATACAGAGGAAATTATTGGCGATTACCAATGCGGCTTTAGGCCTGGAAGATCAATAATCGACCAAATATTTACTATCAGACAAATGCTAGAAAAGTATTGGGAATATAATAAAGAAGTACACCAGATCTTCATAGATTTCAAACAAGCATATGATTCCATAGATCGCTTAAAACTGTGGAGTGCAATGCTGGAGTTGGGCGTACCAAAGAAGCTGACCATAATTGCGCGAATATGTGTCAACAATTCCTTTGCACAAATTAGAATAGGAGACAAAACTTCAAAGGCTTTCGGCATAAGCACCGGGCTCAGACAGGGAGACCCGTTGTCCCCATTACTATTTAACCTAGCATTGGAATACGCAATGCGAAAAATCTATACCAGAGTCAAACCAGACATAACTGCCAGAGGAGCAAAGATTATTCTCGCATTTGCAGATGATGTAGATGCAGTAGCACAGACAACACTGGAAGTTAAGGATATAGTATCGAACTTTGAAGAAGCAACACTAAGCGTAGGCCTGAAAATAAACGAAGAAAAAACTAAATACATGGTGGTATCAAAAAAGGAACGACAGCGAATAAGACAAAACATTACCATAAACGATCATAATTTTGAGGTGGTCAAAGAATTCAAATACCTAGGAGCAACAATTACCAGTGAAAACACAGGAAAACGGGAGGTTGAAATACGAATACTGAAAAGAAAAGAAATCAATAAGCTATTAGTATGGGAACGCAAAATCCTGCGAATTGTATATGGTCCTTGCAGGAACAGCGTGACAAATGAATGGAGGAGCAGATACAACAATGAAATAGAGACTCTCTTAGGGAAAGGAAACATCGTAAGATACATAAAAGCCAATAGATTAAGATGGGCAGACCACGTGGTACGGAGTGATGACGACAGACTGATTATCAATGTGTTTTGGGAAAGACCAGATGGTAAAAGATCGACAGGAAGGCCTAGAAAAAGGTGGAAAGACGCAGTCAGGGAAGACCTGGAGAAGATGGAAGTAAGGCCATGGGAAGTAATAGCACAGGATCGGAATCAATGGAAGGCAATAGTAAACGCGGCAAAAACTCACGAAGCGTTGTAAAAGCCAATGATGATGATGCAGATTATTAAAATCTATAATGCCATCTTCTCTTCTTCACGTGCCATCTCCGCGACGGAGGTTGACAATCATCATGGCTATTCTGATCTAAGATGCTGCTGCTCTGAATAGATCAATTGATGTGAATCCGTACAATTCCCTCAAGCTACGCAACCATGAGATTCTTCTTCTTCCTACACTTCCCTTGCCCTGGGTTTTCCTTGTATAATCAATTAATGCCATACATCCACAAAATTCAGCCAGAGGTGCAGCTGCTGTCGCTGTTAAAAATAGTATTCTCTACTGGAGATGTGAAAAAAGTAAAACTGAAAAAATACAATGTGCTTATATCAGTGTTAAAACTAAGAAATATATACTTAACATTGCAGCTGCATATTTTCCTCCTAAACATAAGCTCGAAAGAGAAGACTATACAATCTCTTGCATTCTTTGCGGTTTCGTGTCAAGATATTTGCAACTATCCATATCACTCCTCGTCTCTCCAATTATTTTCGATTACTTTATTGTATGCCTGTCTTGGACTCTTTTTCGTTTTTTAATATGTTTTCTTCTAACTGGTATGTTATCTTTTATCCGGTGTAATTGACCCTCCAACTTAGCTGTCTTTTTTCTATAAACTCCAATGTGGATTGTATTTTCAGTTCTTTCGTTCCTTATATGTTTTCGTTATTCTGTATTTTGGTAGCACCTTTAACTCTTATCAAAAACTTCATCTCTGTAGCCCGTATCTTGCTCTTTTGCCGTTCCGTTAGAGCTCATCCGCTGGGCATTTCTCTATCCTCTGATTTTGTACTATTCACACATATATATTGTTATATTAGTGTTAATTTACCGGATTTATTTAAAATTTTAAATAAATATTTGTATTGATACCAATAAAGTATTATTCATATACAAAATTCTTACAAATGGTCTCATTACAACCAGTAAATATACCAGAAAGTAAGACAAATAGTCCTATTATATCGATTTTGTAGATTGTGATGAGGGTGGGAGATATGTTTATACAGTGTGTAAAAGCCAAATGGAATAAATTCATTATTTAGGTTACTGTACATATTTATAAAAAATCCCGAAAGACGTCAAATTTAAATTATAACTTGACATTCTTTAACGTAAAAATGCAACCCCTACCTTCAACCCCCTTAGAATGACAGGTACAACCCCCAATTTTTAAAATAGGAAGTATAGGCTAGTGATATATCGCTTGAAAGGTATTTTCATTCTCCATTCAAAAATGTTGTCGCTTTTAAGTTTATTAAGATTAATTAAGATAAAATAAATTAAAATCATGTGGTTACCGAAATTCGCTAAAATATACTAAAAACTTATTTCCCGTTTAGGTCTTGATAATGAGAAAGTGAACAAAAACCATAGCAATGTGGTTTTTAGATGGTAACCATTAAAAAACTTTAAAGAATTTCCATGGCAACGTTATTTAAGTAAATTAACGTTAATTTAAGTAAAAAGTTCGTTCAATTCAATTCAATATTTTAACACGCATTAGTAAATTGTTTTATTTAAGTTGTCAGTATTTTAATTTAAGTACAAAATTTGTTCCATTCAATTCTAAAAAATGGTTAGATTAACGGAAATGCATCAAATAACAGTTTTACAAATGATTGATACGGAAATAACACCCGAACACAACAGGAAGTAACTCGCCTATTTCATGAGAAATTTCCTAATTTACCGCCCATATCCCAAGGAACAATAAGTAAAATAGAGAAGCAGTTTCGCGAGTTTGGTCATGTAAGGCAGATAAAAAAAGCAGCTGCCAATGCACTGAGTGATGAACTCAAATAAGATGTGTTGCTTGAGTTTCAGGAAAATTCACATACATCAAGTAGACAGGCATCCGCTACATTCAATGCTAGCCATACATCAATAGTAAACATATTAAAAGAAAATAAATTGCATCCCTATAGGATGATACCCACTCAGGAGCTCATGGAAGACGATTTTGGTAGGAGAACATTTTTTGTGTGAGCAAATTATTGATATGTTGGATAACAATATTATCCAATTACAAGACGTTATGTTTTCTGATGAGTGTAGTTTTTCACTTAACGGTCATGCTAATCGGCAAAATTGCCGCTACTGGGCCACGGAAAATCCTTACTGGATGAGAAAAGAACACACTCAATACCCTCAAAAGGTTAATGTTTGAGCAGGGATTGTAGGAAACAATATCCTTGGTCCCTTTTTTATTGAGGGCAACTTGAATGGCAACAATTATTTGGCACTACTTCAAAATGATGTCATTCCAACGTTGGCAAATTTATATCCTGATCCAGGAAACCCTCAAGTTCCAGCGAATACGATATGGTTTTCGTAGGATGAAGCACCACCACATTACCAACTTAATGTCCGGCAGTACCTCGATACAATATTTCCCAATCGGTGGATAGGGAGGCAGGGATTGATTGAATGGCCAGCGCGATCACCTGATCTAACATTATTAGATTTCTTTTTATGGGGATATGTGAAGAGCCATGTATACAAATATAAACCTTCTGATTTAAATGACTTAAGAGAACGAATAACGCTTGCGATTAGGTCGATCACGCCTGTTATGTTAAATAATGTTAGAAGACAGTTTTATTTGAGATTAGGATGTTGTCAAGACGTCCGCGGTGAACATTTTGAACATCTACTTCATTAACATTCATAGTTCTTTTTCGTGTTCTACATTTTATTACGTTTTGCATTACATTTTAGTTTTTGATTGTATTGTAGCGAATTTCGGTAACCACATGATTTTAATTCATTTTATCTTAATTAATCTTAATAAACTTAAAAGCAACATTTTAGAATGAAGAATGTAAAGACCTTTCAAAAGATATATCACAAGCCTATACTTACTATTTTAAAAATTGGGGGTTGTACCTGTCATTGTAAGGGGATTGAAGGTAGGGGTTGCATTTTCACGTTAAAGAATGTCAAGTTATAATTTAAATTTATCGTGTTTCGGGATTTTTTATAAATATGCACAATAACCTAAATAACGAATTTATTCCATTTGGCTTTTACAAACTGTATATTTCGAGACTTTCCAAAGTTTCACTCTTAATTCAAACGTAGGTCACGCTCCAAATATATTAGCAGAAAGAAAATAAGGGTTAATTTTTTTTTAATATATGCTTACCTGTAAAGCAACTGGACTCTCATTGATGACATCTGAAGCTTCTCTCAATGCTCGAGATGCCTTCATTTCTCCTTCAGCAGCAATGACTTTTGCTCTAGCTTCTCTAGAAGCTTCTGCTTCGGCAGCCATTGCCCTTTGCAGCTGTTGAGGCAAACTGACGTCTTTTCTAAATATAAATATACCATAGTTAGTAGAGTCTTATCATTTAAGCTTAGTCTAAAAAGGTGTCTCCTAAGTAACACATCCACGGAGCTATAAAAACCTCATAACCAATGCATGCTAAATTTTAAAAATTCAACCTTCTAAATAAAATATTAAACTATTATTTATGTTACCAAGATTGATTCATTCTATTACAATGTGCAAAAATCAGTAACCTTGTTAGGTTATTAGTTATTTTTTTAATTCAATTTGTAGGCCTTAAACCACGTAATCAATAAGGTTAGCCATTATTTATTGGTGATAAATACTTTGTGAGAAGTAGAAGAGTAGATATTGGAATCTGTACACTCCTTCAAACGCATCTGGCCTAAGGTTAGTACATGATCATATTTTAGTTTTTATTGTTTAGATATATATATATATATATATATATATATATATATATATATATATATATATATATATATATATATATTATATATATATATATATATATATATATATATATTTATCAAATTATTCTCGACCGTACTGTGTTAAATATTATTTGTAGTCTCAGCAATTGGTCTGTATGAAATAAAACTCTATTTGTTATTTCTCAATATTTCGTCACAATTTTGTGACTTCTTCAGGAGAAAACTGTAAATTTATTATAATTATTATATGTAAACAAAATGAATATTTCAATACTTACAACTTAAGATTAAAAATTTAAATTTTGATAACATATCCAATTAGATAAATGACATTTTTTGATTTTAATTTATTTGGGAGTTATGGCAACCGCAATATTTTATAGAGTGAATTCCCATTGTACAATTTTTAGCGAATAAGTTTTAATAAACAATTACATATTGTGACAGTATTATCCATGTAATAAGGTGGAAAAGTAGAATATTGAGAAAGAATCAGGAACATGGTAAATTGATCTATAAAATGTAATTGATGGTACGTAGTCAGTTATTGATCTGATGTTGTTAGATACTGATATTAAGATCTATCATATCATATATTGTTTAGTATATTACAGTAGATATTACTTAAATGGTTGGTGTCTGTCTTATAATCGATAGATTCTGGAGTTTTATTAATGTGTACCATTTCAAGGAAAAGTCGATTTTTATAATTATCAATTTGTTCTAAGATTTTTACATTATTAAAGTCAAAGTTATGTCCTGTCTTTAAGTGGTGGTCCACTAAGGCACAAGAGTTTTTTCGTAAGTTACAGTCACTTTTGTGTTGAGTGACACGTTGTTTAAACCACTGTTGACTTTGTCCAATATAACAACTTTGACATTGACTGCAATTTATTCTATAAATTATATTACTCATTAGTGAATTTGGAGTTTTAACTTTTATTTTTGAGAACAACCTTGAATTTAGAAGTGGATTGTATTTAATTAATTTAATGTTCGGAAATGTTTTGAAAAGTGGGACAATTTGGTCTGTTAAATTTTTTATGTAAGGAATTTTTTGTATAAAACTGTCACAACATGTAATTGTTTATTAAAACTTATTCGCTAAAAATTGTACAATGGGAATTCACTCTATAAAATATTGTGGTTGCCATAACTCCCAAATAAATTAAAATCAAAACATGTCATTTATCTAATTGGATATGTTATCAAAATTTAAATTTTTAATCTTAAGTTGTAAGTATTGAAATATTCATTTTGTTTACATAATATAATAATTATAATAAATTTACAGTTTTCTCCTGAAGAAGTCACAAAATTGTGACGAAATATTGAGAAATAACAAATAGAGTTTTATTTCATACAGACCAATTAATTGCAATTGCTGAGACTACAAATAATATATATATATATATATATATATATATATATATATATATATATATATATATATATATATATATATATATATATATGTATGTATATATAATGTGTAGGTTATCCTAAAGGTTGTTAAGTAGTATTACATATGTTCAATTTATTGTATTATTAATTATTTCATAGTTGTTTATGGACAATCTGTACTTAATATTAATTAAATATAATTAACTAACTGAACTGAACTGAACAAACTACTAACTTTTAATAGTAAGCACCGTTTTAGATACAATTGTAAAAAACACTAATAAGACGCAATTTCAGTATCACTATGCTGAAAGCAAGATGAAGATGAACTGGAAATTTTCGATAGAAGAGTGCGGCGGAAGATTTATGATTTACTTCAACTACTATAGGATAATCTTTTTCTTTTTTATACTTACATTTCCACTCTTTCGACTTTAACCCCCCATGGATCCGTAGCAACATCCAATGAAGTCTGCATGGCATGTGAGATGGCTTCTCGATCAGAAAGAATTTCTGCTAGATTTCTAGTTCCCAATATGTTTCTTAGCGTAGTCATGGCAAGCAGTCTTGTAGAGTTACTATAAATTACAAAAAAAAACTCAATCTCATATAACACGTCGCTCGTTCAGTTAGGACAAATAAAAAAAGAAATATACAAATATTATGAAAAATTATTTAATTACTTGTTTAAATACACAACATAGAGTTTCATATTCTTTTAATTTAACTTTAATTTGGCATTTTCTATTCCGATAGTTCGCAATCTTTGCAATAACCATCTCAGTTTAGAACTAAGGCAAAGAATGGTTAAGTGTTATGTTTGGTCTGTACTTTTGTATAGTGCAGAAGTGTGGACGCTAAAAGTATCGATCATGAACAAAATTGAAGCATTGGAAATGTGGGTTCATAGACGAATGTTGAAGATACCTTTAACAAGAAGAGTTGAAGCTGTACTAAGGAGCGTCAACAAAGACAGAGAACTGCTAAAGACTGTTAAATATCGAAAAATGTCTTATCTGGAACATATAGTAAGGGGAAGTCGATATAAAATTTTACAACTGATCCTTAAAGGCAAAATAGAGGGCCGTAGAGGTGTAGGAAGAAAACAAGTTTCTTGGTTAAAAAACATTCGTGAATGGATTCAGATACCAAATGCAGGACAATTAGTCCATATTGTAGAAGATCGAGAAGCCTTCGCAATGGGGATCGCCAACTTTGGATAGTTCTGATATGGCACGCGAAGAAGAAGAAGAATACCACTTACAACAGAAGTGTTTTACTTCAATGTTTAAGTATTTTAATTTACAGTTAATTTAACAAGTAATTAAATTAAAAATGTAGCCAAAAGAGGAAATACAATATAAATATCTATTGCTGACTCATTTTTTTGATTTAATAAATTCATAAAAGTGCTCACGCTAATATGAAGAAAAACTAAATCGGTATTTTTAATTGCTGAAAGTAAATTAATCCCTGCTACATTAGTGTCCTTCGCACCATAGCAAGGCTCCAACATCAGAGCAAAGGAGGTTCTAAAAACTCCTTGCCACCGCCTAGGACACATACTCACCAGGTACCCCACTAAGAATTAACTTGCCTTGCTCCTGGCCAAACTTTTCAACTTGGCCGGAAACGAACTTTCTGATGAGTACTTCAACATCCTAGAAGCGACGCCAATAAGACTACAATCGTAGATTGTAACAATCTGCATGCCAAAATGCTCAATCGAAAAGAGCCGTTCCTAAAGTATAGCTGGTAACACGCAATGGTCCCCTCTTAGAACAGCATGGCATGGCTATCATTCTTCCTCAACATCAACATCACCACGTACCACAAAACATAAATAAAATAACATACACACACTGATTGACTACTGCTTTTAGCAAGTCACTTGTCTACCCATCTCGCCTAAACAAACTGAACTGCAACTTACTGGAGCAACTTAACTGCAACTGCAACTTAAGAGCGACTGGAGTCTGCTCTTATAATTTCTTTCCCTGGCAAGAAAGCCCACACCTTGAAGAGGCGCCCCACCTAAATGAGGTATAAATAACGTTGCTACTACTGCTCCATCAGTAATATTACAACTCCACGTTTGATGGTAGCAATTGAAGTCTTCCGCCAAAAAGTGTAATATACTGTAACGCTAAAAAGACTTGATCCGTTCATAAAATGGTGCCTTTGAAAATGTATTGTTAACTTCTGATATATTATTTGATCTTTTAAAGGAAAAAAAAAATGGTTTTACGTACCTATAATTAGTAACTTTTACAACAGCGTTTAAAGGATCTTGTATTCTATAATACACTACTGCATCCACGGTAACTGTCACGGAGTCCTTGGTCAAAGCCTAAAAAATTTAAATGTATTGCTAGACATAATTTTTAAGAGTTTAATATTGTTTATTTGGGGCTTGACAGATATACGTATCGTTTGTATAAAGAGCTTCCTATTATTTTCACAATGAAAATACTCATGGACGACATTGTCCCTGTCAGTGCTGTACTTAGATTATATGCCTATGAATGCTCCTGGTTCAAAAGCTTATTCATTTTTGTGGTATTTGTTATAAAATGTTTTGGCGTTATACCTTCGAAAAAGGTAATCTTGCGTTAGCGTGTCAAAGAGATATAATTTTGTCCTAGTGTCTCAAATCGGTATGTTTGGCATGGTATACCGAAAACTAGAGGAGATAGGAAAAAGTAGTTAAAATGTCATGACTTATCTTTCGTTAAAGTAATAATTGCTCAATGGAGTCATCAATAAATTTCCACATTAGCGAGATACAAATCGATGGTTGAAAAATGTCGAAAACGATAGGGTTAAAGATCTTCTTCATTAGAAAAATGTTTTAAAAAATTTAATGGCATTTTTTTGATAGATATATTATGGAAGGTTTCAGTGAGGCTGAGCACTAGGGAGGCATACATTTAGCAGATGAGGCAGCAATAAACACAGGAAACTTTAATGCCAAAATTAGCAGCAGTGCTGAAGAAATCAACACAGGGACATATAGTCTTGGTACAAGAAACAACAGGGTAGATAGAACCGCAAAGTTTTGTCTAGAGAACAACCTCTATTTAGTAGCCAATATAACAGACCAATGTTTTTTAAACATCTCACAATTTATTACAAGTGAATAATTGGCAATAAGAGACATTAGATTAAGAATCATCAGGAATCAAATTGGCAAGTCGGCCTTAATGTCGACATTTACGGTGAGTACAATGCAGTTAAAATAAATTTTAAACTCAAAAAGGTTCTGAAATTCGATAAAGTAGCAAGAAAAATTGACATTGTGCAACTCCCATAGAAAGATATAAGTCTCAAGGTTGAAAACGAAATCGAAACGATAGGGAACCCAGTAAAAAATGAACACATTTAAGAAAGATGAAATGATTCAAAAACAAAAATAACAGATCTCAGAAGAAGACTGCAATCACGAAAAATTACAGAAAGAAAGAATGGATAACAAGAACCAAGAAATCATGGTCCTAATAAATAAGGGGAGTTTAATAAAACCATTAGGGAAAAGTGCAGAGAGCTAAAAATAATGAGCGTCAATAAATTGTCAAATCAACAAATGAGTGGCGAAATCACATAATAAGCCGAAATGAATTCCAGAAGTTTGATAAAATCATTAGGAAAAAGTGCAGAGAAGCTAAAAATAATGAGTGTCGATTAGGGGAAGGTGGGGGAATATCTAATATTTAAGACAAAACTGTTATAGATTGTTTGCTATAGCTTTTACGAATTTGAAACTTTTAATATGGACATTTTGTTGATTCAGTTAACCAATTACTGCATAAAAAATATTATAAAATAATTACAAATATTTTAAAAATACATATTTTTGAAACTCAAAAAATTCGGGTAATATCGACAATGGAGATGGAGATAATATCGATCAAGGATGGGAATTATCGATGACTTGGGATAAATTCAATGGTTAAGTTTACTTAGGTTTAAGTATAAAATATACATATTTCTTTGGTTACATTTACAGTTTAAGCAAATATAAAGTGTAGCAGTATCCGCTTCCGTGCAGTCTGCATGAACCCAGAGACAACAGAGACGACACCATCATTCATTTGATCTAAACTCCGAGCATACTGCACATAGTTCGCTTTTACGTGTTTGGTGTACTTTCACGCCATAAGTCTTCTTCTTGACTCTTTTTTCTGTTTTTATCTTAGTAGCTCCAATTGTTCGTTTAACTTTTTCAACCTCATTCTTGTTTTGCTTTTTTTTGTTCCTTATTTTCTAATTGCTCTTTTAATGGAGTTGATGTTAAAATGGTCGAGTGTTGAGTTCACCTGATTCTAGTTTATATATAACTACTGACTGGTAGTGCAAGTAGAGGGCATAAATGAAAAAAAAATAAATACGGAAGAAATTATTATTGCTCAAAAGACAAAAACAAAAAAGCTACAGATCTCAGATACAGGCGATTACCACCATCAAGAAGATTTAAGGACATAACTCTTATATCTCACGTAGTTCAAATTTATCTAACAATCATCCCAATAAAAATTTACAACAGATGTTAATATTAAATGAATAATACGCAGTTCTTATTTAGCAATAGATTGGGAACGCAAGAAGCTCTTTTTTGCTTAATCATATGTGAAAATCTAAACGTCAAAATAAACTTATTTTAAACTAAAATTGTGATTAATTTCCAATAAACATAGTAAATTATATTAAAATATCACAATATAATAGTTGAAGCACAATTTTTTTTAAACGTGCTTACACAACGAAGCAGACACATCAATGTAGATGTATACGCATGTTTTATAGACTATTGAAATTCATTTGATTGCTTTTACCATTAAAAGATGATTGAAGTTGTAAGTTTAACCAGGATTGACGAACAAGACCTACGCGTTTTTATTAAACTCTGATAGCACCAAAAATCAACAATCCAAATCAAACCAATTGTGAAAGAATAGTTGATGTGATGAAACTACGTATTTGCCACTCAAACAATGAACTAAACTCAATGCCCAACAATACCAAATATAAATCTAGGGTCAGCCAATTCACAATAAATTACTTTATTATTGGAGATATTTTAATGTTATGTTGCGATAGGTTAGGCTACTCGACATTGTCTTTTCTTTTATTTCGGTTTACCCTTTATGAGTACAAGAAACCAGTTCACCAAATAGTTTGGCATAGATGAGGAGATATGTTGTGAAATACAATTTGTAGTTTCACCATGTCTCTCTTAGGATCTTTTTCATCGCAGCAATTTTTGCATAAACCAAAAAATTTTTCATTTCTACTTTGGTGTTTTAATTTTTACGGATTTTAATATAATATAAATACACACTTGCATACCTCTTGTGGTGGTACATCAAAAGAAATAGTTCTTAGATCTACTGTAGCAAAGCTATCCATACATGGCAACACAAAGAAAATTCCTGGTCCTCTTGCTCCTCCTCTTCGAACTCTACCTAGACGAAATATAACTGCTCGTTCATATTCTTGGACCACCTAAAAATAAATATATGGTATAACCCTGTATATTTTAATGTGTAATTTTATTGTGTTTTAATTGTTTCTTGTTTTTTTTTGTTTGCTCTGTTTTTATATTTAATTACTAGTGACCTAGGTGCTTTTAACCAATACTGTCAGTACTGTTTTGAACAAATTATGTTCAACAACTTCTTTAAATACTTTCCACTCTAAATCTGTAAGTGTTTATTCTAAACTTAATTTTATATAACTTTTAATCATATTTTAGTTGTCTCCTAATGAAGCTGACAAAAAATCAGCGAAATATAGAGGATTAAAAGAAAAAAGAGTTTTTTTTTAAATAATTACAGACCGCATACCCGATATTCCAACACAATAAATTCTATATATATATATATATATATATATATATATATATATATATATATATATATATATATATATATATATATATATATATATATGTATATATGTATATATAAGCATTTATTATAAGAAGTATATTATAAAGCAACAGAAACTTACAAATACTGAACCAATACATTAAGTTAAGTTGTAACGCTACGTACCGTTTAAATCTGAGCCTGATCAACGACGAAAATATATATCTATTTCTCTAAGATACGGTAATTGTGATTAATCCAGCGACTTTGTGTAATTACTCCAGTGCTTATTATTGATATTCACCACTTAATTTGCTAAATGTGATAAATTCTTGAATATTTGTCAAATTCATCGGTTAACTTCCTCAAGCAGTAATGGATAATGTAATATCTTCGGATTATGTTGTGTAGACCAGAGGATTTATTTATTAAGAAATTATTAAAAATGAATATTTACAAATGAATAGCATTACAAATTTATCAGTTATGAGTTATAAGTTATAACGTATTTTTTTGTTTTTTTTTTTTTTTTTCTTAGGCTTGTTTCATACTTATACTTCTTCATATGTTTCTATTTTGGGAGCTTGGATGTACCAATATTAATTCCATTCACTGACATGTCTTTTCTAACTGTTTTGCACCAGGTTTTCTTTATATTTCCTCTCTCAATCCTTCCGAAGACATGAAACTTGTGTTGTGTGCTTATCATTTTAGAGTTGAACGTATCATAAACATTTTAATATATACTCATTCATCTTGACATCATATAGTGCCGCATATAGATTTCCAGTAATCACTGAGTTCCTAATCAATCTTTTTTTGCCATTCCACTCACACATCTTAGTACATATTTACAGGATTACAACAAACATTTGATAACTGGCGTAAAATTTAGTACCGTACATCATGACTGATTTTTTCTACAGCTTACGCATTACTTACTTCAACAATAACAACACTTACTTCTCATATAATGGAAAATTCTATCAACAAATTTTCGGTACCCCTATGGGAGCAAAGATTTCTCCTATCGTTGCAACTTACGTTATGGATTATGTGTTAGACTCAGTCATTCCTTTATTATTCTTTCAAATTCCATTTATTAAAAAATATGTTGATAATATCATCTTGGCTATACCCAATGACAAGGCAAATGAACTATTAGACACTTTCAATAGTTATGACCCCTACATCCAGTTCACTACAGAGAGGGAAGATGGTAATTTGTTTGTCCCCTTTCTCGACATAAGAATGATCAGGGAAAACAACAATATTAAAATAGATTGGTATCAAAAACCGGCCCATTCTAGAAGATACCTTAACTACCACTCTTACCATAATAATTCTACCAAAGTCAGCTTTATCAAACAGGTGAAAAATAGAGTAATAAAACTATCAGATCCTTCTTTTCATACAAAAAAACCTACAAATCCTACAAAAACTTTACATTTCAAACGCCATTAGTAAATAAGATTTTGTTTAACATTGTCCATAACGAAGGTACTTCACCTTCCTTCGCTATTAACCATGCTGATCCTGATGTCTTAAGTGGAAATCCAGTCTCGGATACTCTTATAAACAAATATTTCTCATTACCATACTTCAGAGCTATCACTCCGGGGTTAACAAGGATTCTGAAAAGTTTTGAAAATGGCTTTGGTTATAATAATAACAACATTAAACTTAATGTGGCTTGTAGATCAGCCCTAACAATTAATAATCTTTATTCTAAGATCAAAGATAAGACTCCCATAGATATGCTTAGAAACATTGTCTACAACAATCCATGCCTCTCTTGCAACAATTCCTACATCGGCCAAACATCTCAATTATTGAAATCATGTATCACACTACACAAAAGTGATTTTCGACTCCACCCTGACCGCTATGCATTAGCCAAACATGTCCATTCCACTGGTCATCTCATGGACTATACAAACACTACAATTATCCACCGTGTGAACAATAAATCTAAAAGAGAGTTCATTGAAATGTCATATATTTTCCTTAACAATTTCTCCATAAATGTTAAGAGTGACATTATAAAATCTAAGTGATCTATACCATTTCTTACTTAAATCAGATACCAAGAACAATACAACATCACAGATAAATAACTTAACTGATATATCCATTAACAACTAACCTACTTAAATAATAATTTTCATTAATTAAAAAAAGATAACATTCCCTTGCTTTTCTTAGATACATCTGGATATTATAATCTCATCAAAGATATTATAATAATAATACATGAACAATATAAAATAATAAAAAAATTTTCAATTAAGAAAATCTAAAATAATAATATTTCCCCAAACTGGGATTTAACTTCATTCTGTTTTACCAATGAACCTTAACGATATAAAGCTTTATAAGACTACTTGACTAGTCAGCACATGCGTTCTGATAAAACAGAACCTCACATTTAAACTTTCAAACAATCAAAAATTTAGTTATTGCCAACAATTTAAAGAAATAATTCCTTTTAAATGTAGTTACATTGGGTTTTTCGATTAATCTTGGGTACACCTTTGCGTTTCAAGTTCAAAGCTACCATACATTTTCAACGGTAAAATTTTTTTTCACATATTAACAAAAAAACCACTATGTTATTACTAGCTAAGTTTTTTTACATTCTAACTCTACAATTCTAAGTTACGGTAAGATCACCAGTGTTTTTTAATAGATAATATATGGTAGCTAATTATAATTTCTTCTCTTTCAGCCCTGAAGAAGCCAAATTAATTCGCTTTGGCGAAACGATTGATAAAATTTTCGGTGATATGTTGTCACCTTCATCAGCACCTAAATGGAAAACCTATTTAGTACAAGTGGTGGAAATCAACATTTAAAAACCTACATTGAAAATGTCCAGTTGGTGTCCTAGTGGTGAAGAACACTGTCGCAAACATGTTAAAAATATTTAAAAATACATTTAAAATTTATATATATATATATATATATATATATATATATATATATATATATATATATATATTATGAATTGCAAATTATGACGCTTTTGATGTTTTTAAACTTTAATTTGCCTTAGGCTTAATTTTACAAAAAATATAAATTTCTCTTAATTAATATTTAATCTCTGGGCTATTTTTTATCGATAATTTTTCAACGTGGCTGCAAAGTAATATCTATACTATTGTCTTTGCGTGAAAAATGGACAATGTAAAAATAAATGAAAATAAATTAATTTGTGATAATAAACTATCAAACAATTTTTAAAAATTACTTTCATCTTATATTTATAATTAAAACAAACATATATAAACTATGCAATAATACGTATAATTAAACTTAATTCTCTAATGTTTATACACAAATTATCAATACTTATTATGACTGAAAAAGAAAATCTCTCGCTACTGTTTCTCCAAAACACCTCCTGGATAAACACCAATTCCACAGAAACACACTTTCTTACTTATTGAAATAATTTTTACTTCACGGATTAGCACTACATATATGCTACACCCGTTTTCCTTACTACAGGATGTAAATTCTGCTTTGGCTGCTACTACTCCTTTAGCTTGTTCCACATGCACATCAAACACTATTTGGTTTTACAGAAATAATTTTCCTATTTATTTATTAAATCGAGTTTATTGGTCGATAAAGTTAAATTTATATTATGGTATTATTCTTTAACTATTTTAGACCACTTCAAACCGCAACAATGTTTCGAAAGATTTCCGCAGTTAGTACAATTAAACCTAAAGCTAAGATTAATCATTATCATCTTTCTGGTTTTATAACCGTATTGGTCCTAACCCCCTTAAGAATTTCTCTTCAGTCATCCATATCCATCGCCTTCCTCCGCCACTATTACATTACTGCATTACTATAATGCATTAGTTAGTGATTAGTATAGTATTGTCTAGGGTTCAGGAGACTGAGACCCTTGTAAGTCTTAAAGAAAATATCAAAGAGAATGTCGAAAGCTCAGCGCAATGGTAATCACCGCGGTTCAATCCGGAAGACCGTTCAATTCCTGTAATAGTATTAATCTTAGCTCTAGGTTGTCATTTAAAACTTTACAGTTAAAGTAAAAATATACCTGATGAATAAAATACGTACCTTAAAACACCAAAATAACGAAAACGGTAGTGTAAAAATAAGTAGAACAATAGATCCTACAGTGACCACAAATTCCACACAACTCATGATTGACGGTTTTTCTGAAAAAAAAATTGTTAATGATATTTAAGAGAGACCAAAGAACTTTTAAAAATAATAATAATAAATTGGGTGCCGGGCGAAATTTTTGGGCAGAAATTGTTTAAACAATTTTTTTTTTACAAATTCCAAAAATATTTTTTTTAATCTGGAAAACGTTTTTTTAGGTTTTTGGGTCATTTTAAACAAAAAAGGTTTCGTGTCATTTTTCTCTAAAGTTGATAGTTTTCGAGTTATAAGCAATTTAAAGTCTGAAAAACGCGAAAATACGCCTTTTTGAGGCTTGAAAACACATATGTAAATTATTATTTTTGAGGTTACCAAGTGTCTAAATTGAAGTTTAAACATTTAACTTCAAGATTGTGAAGAGTAATCGGGACTTATTTTAATTTAGAGCGTTGTTTTTTAATTGTTAAATATGCGCGTACACTCAATTTTTCAGCCGCCGCGGCGCGGTGCGCTAGAGTGCGCTTCTATCGTACTTATGCATAGTTTACATACACACTTACTCAAAAAAACCCGAACAAATCCTTGAAGTTTATTAATATAGTTTTTTCCATAATTTATTTATGTAGGTATCAATTATTGTCATTGGGCTAATTAAATAAATCAATCATCGCAATGTAATAACCGTATATAGTTTTTTTTCTTCCAAATTTGAACAATTTAATTAATATTTATTGAGTATATATTTATTTATATCAATTGTAAATAATATTTTTAAATTATTATTTAAATAATACAATGCAGTAAATATTAATATTAGTAAACTTAATTTTAAATTGCGCGGTGTTTAAAAACAATATACCTACTACCGCAAAAATGCAAGTTTTTACCTGTTTAACAATCGCGCGCTCATACTTGATTTGTTATTACTTAAACGATCATTAGGAAGACTATTGTTTAATGCTCATTAAAAGGGTATTATATTATTAATGTGTTATTAAAAAAATTGTGAATGGATTTAAAATATCTTTTTCCGTACCTCTTCTTAAATGAAAACTTACCGAAGAAAATTTAGTTTGAATCTCTTCGACGAAAAGACAGTGTGACTGAAAAATTTAATTTAATCTAGCCAATATACCTTGTACCTCTGACGCACTTTACCAACACTTGTTAAGAGCTTTCGCTAAAACATATATTTGGCGAAATACCATATATTCCCGCTATCAAACTCTCGATTTTACACAATATGGATATTATATATCTGATAGTGGTGGGTTGGGAAACCGTGCAAATGCAAAAAGACTTGCAAAACTAATGCTTGCAACTGCAAGAAAAATTATGTCAACTGTGTACAATTATGTGGATGTGATTTAGATTTTTGTGAAAACAAAGATACTTTTACTGAGTGATATTAGTGTGTTATTTAACAATCTTTTGTACAATTATTTTATGTAACTATTATTAGACTTTAGACGAAATTTATATTATAACTCAACTGATATAAATAAATATATAGTCAATAAATAATAATTATTTGTAAGTATATGTAAACTATGCATAAGTACGATAGGCTGAAAAATCGAGTGTATGCGCATACTTAACAATTAAAAAACAACGGTCTAAATTAAAATAAGCCTCGATTACTCTTCACAATCTTGAAGTTGAATGTTTAAACTTGGTAACCTCAAAAATAATAATTTACATAATGTGTTTTCAAGCCTCAAAAATGCGTATTTTCGCGTTTTTCAGACTTTAAATCGCTTATAACTCGAAAACTATCAACTTAAAAAAAAATGACAAGAGACTTTTTTTGTTTAAAATGGCCCAAAAAACCTAAAAAAACGTTTTCCAGATTAAAAAAAAATTATTTTTGGACTTTGTTTAAAAAAATTGTTTAAACAATTTCTGCCCAAAAATTTCGCCCGGCACCCTTCAGATTTGTTTAAAGGAGACATTTTTAAACCGGAATCCGCGAAGAAACCGAATCAGAGACATTTTCCCAACGGGAGCGGCCTCACAGCCTGGACTATTCTTAATGTTTAGAAACAATGGAGATAAAAAAATTTCGATGATTTTTGCATAACGAGACTGGGCTAATATTTCTACACAGTTGATTTGTATTTGATGTTTAAATTACCTGTAGCTGCTAAACAGACCACTAATATGATTATCAATTATACTATGGTACTCATTTCACCTAGTTAATTCTAAATAATACATTAAAGGAGATTTACCATGCAATTAGTTAATTTACTTGTTAAACGTGTGCGAATTGCAAATGAACCTTCCAATAGGTATATCACAATAGTTCAAAACCTAGTTTCATCTCCGTATTCTCTTTGTTTTTGCTAAGCTCTATTTATGTATTTATATTTTTCTCTTCTGCACGTTGATCTCACTTGCGGAACATTGTTGCAAAACCTCACCAGGCTATTTTTGGTAATCCCAAATGTCCTGAATATAAAATAGAAAAACTTCTTGAAGAATTGATCCAAATACATTCAATTTAAACATACATACAACATAAAACCTTTGAGTCTAGTTCAATTATACATAACACAATTTATTGATTTGCATCGAGACAAAAAGGTGAACTACGTGGAATACGGTAAGTAATTAGTTAATTAATTTTCAGTGAATAACAAACAAGTGGGAGAATTCACTTCAATTCAATTCTATTAGAATGTTATTATCAAGAATATTTTTATCCCTGTTTTCATATTTAGTCGTAAAACTATTTATTACAATGCACAAACTGGAATTTAATTTTCCTACTAAAAATTTTTAAACCAATTTTCTTCTTCTAATAATAAACTAAATACTATCAGGGCTTCCGACTACGGGGTGCACAAAATGTATCCCAAGTATAATACCAATGCAATAATTCAAACAGCTTTTCAAAAAAAGAAAGAGTCGAAAACGTTAACTAAAATCTCTTCAACCCAATCAACATTAATATTAAGTCTATACTACAGTTACTAGGTAACCAAGGATTACAAATCATCCATTATATCTGCGTCTCCGTTTGGAATTCAGGAAAATGGCCATCTGATTGGTGTACCTCAATTTATATCCTGCTACACAAAAAAGGAACTACTAACAGATGTGGAAACTACCGCACACTGTCACTACATGCTAGTAAAATTTCATATCAGAAAGAATAGTAACAGCAAAGATAAGAATGGAGAAGAAGGACCTGAACATCATCGGCCCAGAAAATAACAAGCCTCAAACAACAAGGAAAGCGTTTTATGAACAATTACAAGTAGTAGATCAAGTCAGAGGGAAGATGATAATATTGGGGGGTTTTAACGCTCGAATAGGCAAACAAGTAATACCCGAAATTAAGCAAAACATAGCGAAGATGTCAAAACGAAAATGGGGAACTGATGATAAACTTCTGCACGAATAACGAACTAAGAATAAACAATACATTTTTTGACTTCAAAGACCAACATAAATATACATTTAATAACAACCGTGGACAAAGATCTATGATAGATTATGTTATAACCAACAGAGATATACATCCATCGAAAATAATAGACGTAAGATGTCTCAACTCAGCAGATATGGTAGCGACCATAGCCTAGTAGTATGTAAAATAGAAATCGTTCTAAAATACTTTCCACCCAAGAGAGCTAATACAAACAAATGTCAAAATCGAAGGACTAAATGAAGAAAGCTGGGAAAAATTCAAAAATAACATAATTAAGGCAACAACAAAATCATTTGGAGAGAGGAATATAACGGACACTAATATATTAAAAAAGAAAACTCCATGATTTATGAAGAAACTGAATACAAAATGTGAAGATAAGAAGAAACCTTTTTTCCAATTCAGAACACAACAAACACAACAGGCATACAACCGCTATAAACGAATCAGAAATTAAACGAATACTTTAGATAGACAAATAAAAAGGGAACACTGGCAGAGCTTCAAACACAAAAAAATATGGAGAATGATCAAAGGGCAAAAAAAGAGATGAACGAACTAATAAAAACGAAACACGTTCAGAAGGAAACATGGGTAGGCTACTTTAGATCCCTGTTTGCTTAAAGTGACGATAATGAACCACCAACAATAGAGGTGACGACAAACGAAGAAATAAATATTGAGAAGGAAGAGGTAAAGGAGGTATTAAGGAGAGGACAGAATACTGAACAAACTCCTAAAGTACGGAGGACCAGATCTGACAAAAAAACTAAAGAACAAAAAAATAGAACAAAAGAGAATTCCTCAAGAATGGAGATCAAGCATCCTAATACCTCTCGTCAAAAAGGGGGACAAATCAAACCCAGAAATTTACAAAGAAATTCATTTATTAAATACACCATTAAAATTAACAACCAGAATAATAACAAATAGAGTGAATAAAATTATAACACCAGCAGAAGAACAACAAGGTTTCAGGTCGGAAAGATTATGCCCCGATGATATATTTATAATGAGGTAAGTGCAAGAGAAATAATTAGAATATAACAAAGTGGCATATCTATGTTTCGTAGACCTTAAGAAGGCATTTGGCCAGGTCAAATTAAAAGACGTTATCCACTTACTGTACGCAAGAGGGACACATCTAGGAATAATCAAAACGATTGAAAATACCTACCAAAACAACACAACAGAAGTAAAAGTAGAAGAAGAACTAACCGACCCTATTAAAGCTGGCAATGGGGTGAGACAGGGAGATTCCCTGGGTCATCTATTATTTAACCTGATTATGGATATAATAATTTAAAAGGTTAGAACTAAAAAAGGATATTATATGGGAGAAAAACAACTTGAAATAATCTGCTATGCAGACGAAGCAATACTACTATCTTAAAGTGAAAATGATTTACAACGTATCCTGCACCAATTTAATATAACCGCCAGAGAATTTAATATGTTATTTTCCCCAAAAAAGACAAAATGCATGGTTACAACAGCAAATTTACTAAGATGTAAATTGGAGCTGGAAGGTCAGATAATAGAACAAGTGATGAACTAGGCATGTGATGATGACTAGGCATCTTATTATCTAGATACGGAAAGCTCGAAACTAAAGGG